TCAAACAACTTCTGCAGATGGTCAAGGTGTTCCTCCTCAGTCTAGGACCTTGCAATCATATCGTCGACGTATACTTAAATCTCATGATGGATCATGTCATGAAACAAAGCAACCATGGCACACTGATATGTTGCCCCAGCATTCTTCAATCCAAAAGGCATGACCTTGTAGCAAAAGGTACCCCACTGAGTAACAAAAGTGGTCTTCTCCATGTCTTCGGGAGCTATCTTTATCTGATTATAACCGGAGAAACCATCCATAAAAGAGAATACCTTGTGCTGAGCGGTGTTGTCAACCAGAACGTCGATGTGAGGTAAAGGGAAATCATCCTTGGGGCTTGCCCTGTTCAAATCCCTGTAATCAACACACATTCGGACCTTACCATCCTTCTTCGGCACAGGAACCACATTGGCCACCCATTGAGGGTAAGAAGTAACTGCTAGAAAATCGGCGTCAAACTGTTTCATAACTTCAACCTTGATTTTCTCAGATATCTCTGGGCGCATACGGAGAACCTTTTGTTTCACTGGAGGACAGTCTTCCTTGGTAGTCAGGAGATGAACCATAATGTCGGTATCCAACCCAGGCATATCTTTGTAAAACCAGGCAAAGATCTCAACGTAGTCACGCAGCATTTGAATCAAACGTTGTTTCACACTAAGATCCAGATTTGCACCGATCTTGACTTCCTTCTTATCTGTCTCAGTACCCAGATTCACTGACTCTACCGACTCTTCATGTGGCTGAATAGCCCTCTCTTCCTGGAGTAACAGTCTTGCAAGTTCACCAGGAACTTCGCAATCATCTTCACCTTCGTCTTCGGCTAAGTTGATCGGATTTTCGAAGTCATAACCGGCAGTAGCATATTCGTTATCAGTAGGATCCAGGGTGGATGTGGACCTGTATATGTGAGTGTGTGTAAAATAGCTGTTTTGCAATATAAAATAAAGAAAAACAAGGAGCGCAAAATTTGAAATGCAAGAACGTCCAATGCTTTTATTAATGATATATGAAAATGACACACATAAAGCCCTCACAAATGAAGCCACTGTGCCCCGGGTAAGACACAGGGCCATAAAAGTTTAAAACATTGTCTGTTACATATTCAAAACAAAAAATTTCATTACTGGGTGATAACAGAAATGGGCATAGAATCCTTCGATGTCCAGTTGCTTAATCCACCATTGGCAGTCGGGTAGATCCAACTGTCGATATCAAACTCTTCATCATCGTCATCCCTGATAGCATTCACCCCTGCATCTTGTTTAGGCTTCTCTGGTGCTCCGAACTCAATCTCTTTCGCATCGTTCAAGTCTTGTACCATGTTCTTCAAAACCCAGCAATCATCTGTATTATGCCCCGGGCTATCAGAGTGAAAAGCACAACGGGCATTAGGGTTGTACCTCGGTGATGTGGTATTTGGACTCTTCGGGGCTTCCTTTAGAACCACCAGATTAGTCTTCAGCAACTGTGGCAGAATCTGAGACAAAGTCATGTTGAGACGAGTGAATTGCCTTCAAGGTCTCTCGTCCTTCTGTTGATTGTTGTGCTGAGGAGCACCAACAGGTTTTGAAATAACAACCGCATTGACAGCTTGGCGGTGTTCAGGTTTATTCTGTCTTCTCGAACTGTAGACATCACTGGATTCTTTCTTTAATGGCTTCTTCTCGGTGCTTGACGAGCCACTCTTCTGTATCTTCCCAGCCTTAATACCAGCCTCAATCCTTTCACCAGTCAAAATAAGATCTGTAAACCTAGATGAAGAGCTTCCAATTAGATGGTTGAAGAATGGACCAGACAGGGTCCCCAGAAACATGTTAACAAGTTCCCGATCAGCTAAGGGTGGTTGCACTCTACCGGCGAGGTCCCTCCACTTTTGAGCATAATCCTTGAATCCTTCACCCGTTCCCATTGACATACCCTGGAGTTGGGTACGCGTAGGAGCGAGGTCGGAGTTGTACTGATACTGCCTGTAGAAAGCAGTAGCCAAATCTTCCCAGCTGCGAATACTAGCTCCGTCCAACTGGTAGAACCACTCAAGTTGAGTCCCTGAGAGACTGTCTTGAAAGAAATGGATCCATAGGTTCTTATCAGCGGTGTACGGTTGAATCTTCCTCACATATGACCGGAGGTGCAGCTTCGGACAAGAAACTCCGTCATACTTAGCAAAGGCTGGTGCCTTGAACTTATGGGGAATCACCACCCCAGATGATAGACCTAGATCTCCGAAGTCCAGACCAGGCACCTTTTGAACCTCCATGGCACTCAACCGGTCTTCCAGTTGTTTGTACCTATCATCAGCAGGAGGGTACTGTTCTTCATCGTAGTCCGTCTCGTTGTCGGAGACCACATGGCTAGGAGCCCTCCTTTCCTCTTGACTATTTTCCCCTCCAGATGAGGTGGTCAGATCAACTTCATTCTGTAGCCTGTTTCCAAACCTGTGCCCTGTGTTAAACAGGATGGTCCTCTTCTTCTTCTTCTTCTTCTCTTTCAGAATTAGGGTCTTCAAGTCTTGCTGACCCTTAGCCATATTCATGAACAACTCTTGAAATTGGGCATTCTGGGCCTAGAGGGCCTTGATAGCTTGCTCAGTTGAAGATTCAGCAGACATGATGATTGCTGAAATAAACAGCGAAGAAGATAAGAGACCTGTAAAGGGTACCTGTTTATGACGTTCATGAGATGAAATGCATATGATTATGATTTCAAAGACAATCAGGAGATTCAAATTTGTAAATAAGAAAGGAAACACACTTTATTAGATTTAAACTTCAAAATTTAAATTGTTCAACTGATGCCCTCAGGGCGTTACAAAAATGGAAATACTGAAAAGTAAATAAAAACTGGAAAGGAAATCATCAAAGGTCCATCAATGCTCCCATGGTCTCTTCTTATCAGTGCGGACATAATCGTTGAGAATCCGCTCGTTCTCTAACTGCCTAGTCAACGTCTGGATCTTCTGCTCTTGTTCATTGAACTTCTCTCGGTAAGAATCCCGTTCCTCCCTCAATTGCATCCAAGATCTCTTCCGTGCCCCAATGTCAGTGGGCATATAAGGATGGAGAATGGTTGGAAGAACCCCTTCTTCATTAGCAACTTCAAGAGTGACAGGCCAGACAGCTTCATATGGCATACCTAGCTTCTGGGCACGGATGCGGACCCATCTGAGATATGGCTCCATTGGCAGAGAAGTCTTTGGGCCCAGCTCATGTGGATCAGATTGGTGAACTCTATTCCAAGCCCTTATGAATCTGCGACGCTGCTCGTCGCTATCCCCTTGAAAATCAAAGATGATATGAGGCATTAACATCTCATGAGGTCCTTCTCTTCTGGCTCTTCCAAACTGACGAAGAGCTAAGCATGGGTTGTAATAAATTCCTCCATGGGTTCCTAATAGTGGGACATTGGGATACTCCCCACAGCGATCAATGATAGTCACCTCATCCATACCCTTGAGAGTCCAGATAATGTAATTATGAGAGAGAGACATCACCCTATAAGCCCAGTCCATTCCTTCTTTGTTCTTCAACACAGACTTAGGGAGGTGCTAAATAAATCACCTCGACAATAGAGGAGCACAACACATCAAGGTTCCCCGCTTTCGGGTAGTACGAGCATAGAGCTGATGAAGAATGTCACCCAAGAGAGTGGGTACAGGATTCTGAGAGATGAAGATCTTTATCGCATTCACATAAACAAAAGTGTCAGGATTCGGAAATAATACCAAGCCATAAATCAGAAGAGCCAGAATATCCTCAAACGCCTTAAAGTCTAGGCTATCCCAGAAGTAGTTAGCCTTGCCAACCAAGAACTTAGTCAGAAATCCTTTTGCTCCACTCCTAGTCTCCCAATTAGCCATTACCTCCTCTTTAGTCAAATGAAGGGCTGCAGCAATCTCTTCGGGCCTAAGCATCTTTTCCCAACCAGTAAACGGGGTCTGCTCCAGAACAGAGATACCGAGCAGCTCAGAGAACTCTTCTAGGGTGGGAACCAGCTGATAGTCTTGAAAAGTAAAACAATGGTACAGCGGATCAAAGAACTGGACTAGGACACTCATCATCTGCTCGTCCAATTTGGAGGTGACCAAACTGAGAAGATAACCATGTCTCCTAATGAAGGAAGTAGTGTCAGGCATCTTGGCAACCAACTCTTTAAGCAAGGTAGGGACTTGGACAAAGTTGATCCGGATGGTATTCTTACGCATGGGCATCATGATGACCTACAAAACAGAGCAAAGATGAAACCCTCCTGTCTTTGAAATAGGTTAGTCCAATGCAAGATGTATGCAATGTTATGATGTCATGATGTCATGATAGTAGGCACACCAGAATTATCCACAAAAATCAAACATGGAAAAGGCACACAAATCACACTGAGAGCCCTTAGATTTCAGGCTGGCATGGAGCTTAGGTACTACCCTCTTTCAGTTCAGTTGGTTTAAACCTGTCCTAAAAGTAGTAACCGGGTTCTAGAGGATCTCAATATCACTGACTACCCTCAATCGGTTATAATTCTAGTTTAGTAACCTTTTCTTGCGGCCGGAATCATCGCGAGAGTTTAGTCTCAATGAGTGTAGCTTACTGCTACTGTTCTATGGCCAAGTTGGTCAATTTAAGGTTCTAAGGTCAGTGGGTGCTTAATGACCCCTTAGAAGACCCATATTCTCCTCGTTCCAACACAAGGGATATCGGTACAATCTAAAGTGCCACACCAACGTAGCTACTACTTCAACCGTATCGGTCTACGCCGTACAGTTCCCTCACAGTTTATTGCTACTTACCTAAAGGGTATCCCCAGATCCGGGTTAGGATCTATAGAACTCCGATACAATCCCATATATATAAATCATACAAATCATACAATTGAAAACACAATGATCTAATCCTAAGGTACACCTCACTTACACATGTCCCCGGCAAAGTCGCCAGTTCTGTGATCGGTGGGAAAGAGAACTGACTGTTTTGGAATGCTGGTTCGCGTTTTGCGTTTGTTTTCGCAAAATGTCGCGGTGAGCAAGAGTCTCCACCGTCTTTTATTTTATCCAACAAGGAAAGGAAAAAAGCACAGAAAAATTCCTTTTTCGAGATGTTTCTCGGGTTCGGGAGGTAGATTATAGAAAGGGAAGGTGTTAGCACCCTTTCTATCCGTGGTTATCCACGGGCTCTTAGGTACTTGCTCATTGTGTTTTCAAAAATTGCTTTTCTTTGTGTTTGTGGGTTTGAAAAAAGTTTTTGTTTGAAAGGAGTGTAAGTGCGAAAAGTTTTATTTTGTTTTAAAAGGAGCAAGTACTTAAGAACCATCTACCTACTCGAAAAGGGAATTAAACTATGCTAATGTCCTTTAGACAATGATCACTACAAGAAAATTAGTGTTTAACGACACAAAAATTGCGACAGTTATGTGATAACTGTCGTAATTGACATATAGAGACAGTGTTTACGACAGTTGACACCAACCGTCCCTAATATTTATTTTGCGACGGTATATTTAACCATCATAATATTATTATTACGACGGTAAAACAACCGTCGGCCCCCATTTAACACTTTTAACATTGATTTTTAACCAACAACTAGTCACGACGGTAAAATTAACCGTCCTAAAAGGCATATCACGACGGTAAAGCACCCGTCGCACCCTTAAACCTTTCACGACGGTAAAATTATCCGTCCTAAAATTCATTTCACGACGGTAAAACAACCGTCGCACCCAAAACCTTTAAAAATTCTCATGGGCACGACGGTAAAACACCCGTCGCCGTAAAAAAGTTAAAAAAAGCTGAGTTGTACCGCAATTTGATTTTCCGGGCATACGAGAAAAGAGAACTATGCCAATCCCCAATCACCAACTGAAAGAGAAACAAAACTTCCCTATTCTCTAAAGCTTGCCACCCCGTGGAAGGTCATCTAATGTTGTGGCGGCCTTGAGCTCTTCTTCTTTCCGGTGGCCGGGTTAGCACCCCTCTAAGCCCCTGTACCCGAAACAGATGCGGTTTAGCAGGGGCTTGCCAGGTATTTCCTGGGGTTTTCCATCCGGGCTTTAATGCGGCTAGAGACGGATCCAACGAATAGCTAAGGTTCGTTGACGATCCCTGGCTACAGCTAGCTCATTTCAAGAAAGCAAACAAGTGCCCGTAAGGCGTTCCTCTAGTAAGGCACCATCACCAGCGCACATGAGAAAAGGCCGTTGTTGCATAGCTCAGGTGCCGTTGTTGGAAAGATAATAGGTAACTTTTGAATTCTATCGAGTTCTTTTGGGTTTCTGTTATTTGATTTTACATATTATGTTTTATAGTTCATTGCTTGATGTATTTGCAGCAATTTCTCTGATATCTTTGATGAAAAGAGGTTTATCAGTTCTCTTGCTGATGATATAAAAATCATCAAGAAACTTCCCAAGAATCTGGCTAATGCAACCAAAATGGTGAAGCAGTTCAAAAGCTGGTCTGGTATAGAGTACTATCAAAAAGAGATTTCAGCCCTTTGGGATGATTTCAAAGTAAGTAACCTATTGGTATATAAATTTCTATCTTACTATTGATTTATTGATCTTACTGTCTAATTTGTTGAAATTTCTAAAGGTTATTCAAGCTTCCAAAACCGATTCTCGATTAGCGAATAACAATCTACCTCTAGATATTCAAAAGCTTTGTTGTCGTGCTTGTTTTGAAGCTCTTCGTTTCTCTCCTCGCATTGAAAAGATGGGAAAAGTATATTACTAGATTCTAACTCTTATTGGCTTCTTTGTTTACTTTTTACTATACTATGACCTTTTGATTTCAATTTTTTCTTCTTTTTTGTGTTACTTGCAGTTATTGGTGGAGAGGATGAGATCATTTGGTCCTTATATCACATTACACTTACGTTACGAGATGGATATGCTTGCATTTAGCTGATGCACGCATGATTTATCAACTTCTGAGGCCGAAGAACTACGAATTATCAGGTAATGAATTTGTTGAGGTCTTGTGCTTTATTTCTGATATCTGATGAACTAAACTTGCAGAGAGAATACTACTTATTGGAAAAGAAAGCATATTGATCCTACTGAAGAGAGGTCTAAAGGGAATTGTCCCTTAACTCCAAAGGAAGTTGGAATTTTCCTTAGTGCTCTTGGATATCCTACAAGGACTCCTATATATATTGCTGCAGGGGAGATATATGGGGGTGAGTCTCATATGACTGAACTGCGATCGCGATATCCGTTTTTAATGAGCAAGGTAGAAACTATACAATACTTTGTTGTTGTCTTTTGTCAAAATTTATAAACCATTGTTTAGACTTGTTTTGATTTAGTCTATGTAACTAATATCAGGAAAAGTTGGCATCTATTGACGAACTTGAACCATTTTCAAATCACGCATCTCAAATGGCTGCTCTTGACTATATTGTATCTATTGAAAGCGATGTGTTTGTACATTCTTACCCTGGAAACATGGCACGGGTTGTTCAAGGTCATCGTCGTTTTCTTGGGAAAGGAAGAATCGTATCTCTATATAGGTTAGTCTCTCTCACTTAAGCAGTTGAATTTATAGAAATCTATCTTGACGATGACAATTTTACCCATGGTATCCTCAAAAATACCCACAACTCAGTAGGGTAAAAATCTGCAAAAATAATTACGGTGCCGTTCATGCCGTTCTTCTTCACACCGAAAGAAACCCCTTGACACCAAAAGGAATCTCTTCAAACCGCTCATCTTCACACCAAAAAACGCACAGCAAGCAGTTTAACATCCTCTGCATTCATCTCTTCAAACACAGTAAGTTTTATGTATCACTTTTTGCATTGTTCTCATCTCTCTCATTCTCTGCCATTGATTTCAACATTGGAGATTCACTTGAATCTTATGGTTGAGCTCTTTGTGATGATTGATTTTGAGTTTGAATATATTGAATTGATGTTAGATTTTCTAATTTGTTGTTTTAGGGTTTTCATTTTCTGACATCTTTTGATCACTATCCTCAGTAGCAGCAGCAACTTCAGAGGGATTTTGTTCATCTGTCTTGCCGGCACCATTATTTCCATTGGCTTGTTCATCAGTGCTATTCTTTTCTGAAGGAACTTCCTCAGAAATATATATATAGTTTAATATGGCAATGGTAAGTAACCCATATTTTATTTTGATAATTGTATTCTATACTCTTTTAGAATAGTACTAAAATGATGCTCATCAAGTGTTTGTTGTAATGCTCAACTCAAGGTATGGCTGAGTTTATAGAATTCTGATATGCTATGCTATATAGTGCCTAGTGGGTGTTGTAAAAGGACTTTATAACCATTTAAGCATCATATTCTGTTGCAGAGTGTGATTCTGACCAAAGCATGTTTATTTGAGTGACTTGTGTTGCTTCTGTCATATTTGCTAGCAACAAAGGTTTTACTTTTTGAAATTGAATTAGATTCCTTTGTTTGGGAATTCAATTCTTATTCTTATTTTAGATTTTGGGGTTCTTAAAACTTGGTTGGGTTGCAGGACTTCTACCATTTCATCCTGATTTGCTAGGTTTGGTTCAGCATTTCCTTCTACTTTTCTTGGTATGTTTCCTTAACTCTCTTGCATTTTCAACGTTATTAGTATTGTTTAACAAGTAATTCTATTATTAACTAGAGAACATATATGTTGTCAATTCTATGACTATAATACTCAAAGATTTCCGCGGAAACAATATCTAAATGGACAGAGTGTTGTTGCATCTGTTATGGCTCTTCCAAGCCTTGAAACATCAGGAAGGTTACTTTTACATCTGAATGAGGTCAACAGGACATCTAGTTCTAAAAGAACCAAGAAGTCTAGCTATAAAGTGGGATCACTGGTTGAGGCAGAGATTACTGACATAAAAACTTTTGAGCTGGAACTGAAGTTTGGATTTGGCTTACACGGCAGGGTTCACATAACAGAGGTACATGATGCAAATGATTTGGAAAATCCATTTTCTGGCTACAAAATTGGGCAAACAGTGACGGCAAGAATAGTTTCAAAGCCTAATGATGCTGATAGCAGCAGAAATGGATCACGGTGGGAGCTTTCAGTCCGACCTGAAATGGTTACAGGTTCCAGTGACATAGGAGACAATATATCAGAGAAACTGGACTTTAAGATTGGGCAATGTGTGGCTGGTTATATATATAAAGTCGAAAGTGAATGGGTCTGGTTAGCAGTTTCTCGAAATGTTAAAGCTCAGCTACATATTCTTGATAGTTCTACTGAACCCAATGAGCTTGAGGATTTCCAAAATCGATATCATGTTGGAAGACTTGTTTCTGGTCATGTTCCGAGTTTCAGCTTGGAGAAGAAGCTCTTGCGGTTGGTTCTACGCCCCTTCTCTACTCTCCCTCTCAGAACTGATGAAGAGCCACAAACTAACCTTGTGAATAAGGAGTTGACAACACATATTCGTGAAGGAGATATTTTAGGAGGAAGGATTAGTAAAATACTTCCTGGTGTTGGAGGACTGCTTGTACAAATTGGTCCTCATACATATGGAAAAGTGCATTTTACTGAACTTACAGAGAAATGGGTGCCTGATCCGTTGTCTGGATATCATGAAGGGCAGTTTGTCAAATCTGTTGTTCTTGAAGTTAGCAACACTGTCAGGGGTACTGTTCAGGAGGCTGTTTAATGTTTTGTTGTTATTATGGCAGAGAATGATGATGGATATAAAGCTAAATCCTATGCAGCATTTTGTTGCAACTTTAGAGAAATTGTGTATGAGCTATTACATTTACAAGAACAAAAATCCTCTTATTGTTGGAAGATGAAGTACTTTGCATATGAACAAGTGTAGTGTTGTCGAAGATTACAAACTTCCGGTTGTGAGTTGTGATGGTTGATCGATGAATGGGCAAAATGTTGTTACAATGAAGATTTTGGTTGTTTTGACACTTTGGATGTTGCTCGGGTAATATTGTTATAAAATTTTGTTGATGCTTTTTAATTTTGTATGGATTTTAAGGAAAGTTCGATGATGCTTTGCAGAAGTATAAGTTGGTAGGTTGACTTTTCAGATTGCTTAACTGTCTCCTCCACACCTTTCATTGTTGTTTATCTCTATTTTGAGACTATAGGAAATTATCACTATAAGTCTATATCACCTTGTTTTAATTTTTACATTTTAGGCCAAGGAAAACATCAAAGAGATTCCATCTTTTCAAAGTAGAAAACTTCTTTTGGCATGCTCACTTAACTTGATGGCCTGCTACTTGAAGACAAGGCAGTATGATGAATGCATAAAAGAAGGTTCTGAGGTATTCATAATTCATTTCATTTACCATTGCAGTGGGATGTTAAGTTATAAATTTTAGTAGTCATGTGCAACATAAATTGATGGGTAATGATTATAACTTAAGAGCTAAATGTTAAACTGTATCACTAGCCTTTTTTAAACAAATGCAACACAAAATAAAATTGTGTCATTTTAATAAAATGTAAATGGTAATAGAATTTTATATGTACTTGTGAAAGAATTTCAGCAAAAAGTAAGGGACAAACACAACATAGGACCTTTTAAATATTTTGGAGTTTGGTATACTACAAAAAGTTAGAAGCTGATTCACGTTCTCAATTTAAAGTTTATTTCTTTTCAAATTTCTTATATTAACTTGGACATACTGTAATGATACTGTTTTTCTTTTCTTTTTTAAATTAGTGTCTAGAAATTTATTTTGACAGTGGGCATGTCAATTACGAATTATATGATTTTGTTCATCTGATATTTCTACACTGATGGATGTTCTCAGTTTGTAATTTTGAAAAGTAATGCTTGTAATTTGCAGGCATATGTTGCTGTCGTACAGTGAATCAAAACTATGCAAATATTATTTTGATGCTTTTACGTCTCCGTCAGGCTTGTGATCACCCACTTCTTGTTAAAGAATACAATTCTGATCCTGTTGATGGTAGACGTTCATCTGAGTCTAGCTACCGTATTGGAGATAATGGAACTTCAGGGGGGACAAATTAGACTTTGCTATGATCGAGATAATTAGATTGTGAACTTTCTCATGTATTTTTGGCATAATGATACTTATTATTATAAAATTAGAAATTGATATATTTTGGGTTTTTTGTACTACTTGACATGATTATGGAACTCGCATTTTACATGATTATGGAACACACATTTTTTTGGATATTATAATGCTTATTTGATGTTAAATATTTTTTATTGAAATTTTTTTACTATATTACAAAGTGATAGAAAATAAAACAAAAAATAATACTATAAATAAATATATTAAAGAAGAAATAATTTAAAGAAAAAAATAACACAAAAAAAAACTATATTTAAAATTTTTTACATAGATAATAATTTAAATAAAAAATATATATAATAGAAAAATAAAAAAAAAATCAAGACATAAACAAAAGTCATGGCGACAGTACCGAACCGTCGTAATCAACAAAAGTCATGACGGTATCGAACCGTCGCCATAAACAATTTAATCAATTTCAAAAGATATTCACGACAGTATCGAACCGTCGCCATCAATAATTAAAAGAAACTCAAAAGATAGTCACGACGGTATCAACCCGTCGTAAACTTGAACGACAGTTTTTGTAACCGTCGCGAAATAGGTTGGGGACACACACTTCTGCGACGGTAAAGCAACCGTCGTGGAAAGCAAATTGCGACGGTTTTAACCGTCGTGATCTACAAAAATACCTGTCGCAATCTGCCAATTTTCTTGTAGTGGATATCCCACTATTGGTGAGTAGGTAGCATCGTCGTTGGAGTTTTAGGGTCAATTCGATTAAGGGTCGTGTGGTCACTAAAGCAATGTTAGGACGCCTTAGCGGTAACCCTAATGTCTTAGATCATTTTTTTTCGAGGCAACTTATGATCTTTGGACAAGAGGGCGACCTCTAAAACTTCCTATACTTAATGACCTCTTTCGAAGGCAACCAAGTGAGGTGTATCTTAAGAGTGCGCATGTGCGAGTGTGTTATTTCGGTTAATTTTATCTTTGTACATGTTATGGGTGAGCTATGTTGATTTTAAGTTCATATATTCGATCTTGTCATGCATTCCCTATTATCAAACATCTAACAGTGTATAGTTTGCCGAATTTTAAATTACGGAAATTTAATCTAAACTATTACAAGGCGTCGGGTATTTACATCTCCAAAAACAACCCTTTAATTTAAATTGCGGAAAGTAAAATAAAGCGATAAAATAAAGTCCTAATTGAAAGCTATTACATACCGGAAGCAATTACAATATTGGAAATATGGATCGCGTGCGAGAAATTAAAACAGCGCATTTTTAGGGTTTTGACCCTCTTTTTTTTGTGAAAGAAAAGATTTTTGTTATTTTTTTGAATTTATGGAAATAAACTAAATTAACAATTAAATTAAATAATGAAAATATTTTTGTTTTTTTTGAATATTTAAGGAAATAAAATAAAAATTGGTCAAAGTTATTAAAACCTAATATTCTAAATTAATTCTAATTTATTGCAAAAATGTTAAAAGTTAAAACTATTTAAAACTAGATTAATTAATTAATATTTATTTACAAAAACTCAATGATGATATTAATTTTAATAAAATAAAAATAATATTTTTTTAGTTTTCTGATTTTTATTTTAAAAAATGTTAATTGGTTAATTTAAATAATAATAATATTTAAACAAAACAAAATAATAAAATGAAATTAAAAAAAGAGAAATAACCAAATAGGGGGGGTGCTGGGTCTGATTTGAGTGTGAAATTAGCAATTCCAAGCCCATTTACTGCAAGCCTGCTTTGACTTTCCAGATCACCCACGCGTGTGTTGACTTGGATGTATGGTGGACTTGCAATCTGGGCCATCAGATTTGGCCTGAAGGCCATCTGGCGTCTAGATCTTTGAGGCATATGGTGTGCTACACTTTGGGAAATCACATAGAATCACCTGAAGAAAAATTAAACAAATGTTTTGGGGGACCTGGGATTCGAACCCAGGTCCCATTAGACAATACGCTAACCTGCTTGCCAACTCAACCAACATGTTTGTTTGTTAATGGAATACAAAACAATTATTATATTTAAAAACAAACCGTTATGCCTGGAAAAAAAATAAAAAGCGCGTTATTTGAAATTGGCCAATAGGAAGAGGACGCGTAGTCGTCTTCTTCACAAATCCCTGGTTTTCTTACCTGCGGATTTTTATCCGCAGGAAGATTCGTGGCTTGCTTCCAAAATTCATCCTAGGCCATGTAAATACCAACTAAGACTACCAACGTGTTCGTCTCTCCTCCCTGAACACAACCATGGTCACCGTTTGCCTTGATTTTGCCTGTATCAAAAATGTCTAAAAACAAAGAATGGAAACCCTAGGTTCGGGTATCACGTTAGAGGCCATGAAAACGAAATCAAATATTGCAGAATGCTTAGAAATTGAATGGCAAGCATGATTATACAAAAAATTTGACAAAAGGATGCAAGAAAATGGATTCACGATTCCATGTACAGGGCTATGTTCTTGAGTACTTACAGTGTGATTTAGGAGGTCTCAAGGCTTGGTTTTGATCGCTTTGGCTTCAGTGGACGTTAGGCAAGGAAGCTACGTTGAGATTTTGCCTTGAATTGAGCTCTAAGTATGATTTCAGTTTCCACTTTTCCCAAGCTTTTTTCAATTTTGGTTTTTCCGTTTCTGTTACTTTCAGGTCGTGTTCCCTATATGTCTAGCTTGTACATGTTTATTAGAATGAATTAGGTTAAATCTTTGGGCTTGAATCCATGTGCATTGAAGATTGAAGATATGATTTGATCACCATTAACAAAGCTTCCATATTTGTCTCAAATCAAATATTTTGTGCATAATAAAGCTTGATACGAATTTGATTGGGTGTATCATGTTAATTGGAAGCTGTAATGATCAAAAATATCTCATTCCATCAATTTTTGGATTTTATTTGAATTAATATTGATTTAAAATGAATTAATTCAATAAAAATTAAATAAAATAGAAAAATTAATGAATGGACATGAAACTGAAGATAGGACACGTGTGTGGTGTGACAAGATCAAATCAAGTGGAAAAAAGTGGGCCCATTTGTCAAAATTTGATGTTTTGGGGATAGTTGACTTTTGGCCCTTTTGGAAAAATGCCCAACTTCAACAATGCATAACTTCTTCAATTTTGAACTTTTGGAGGTGTTCTTGGACTTTTTATAAACCTTGAGATGTCCTATAACCAACCCTTTTGGTCTCATCTTATTTTGATATTATATGCTCAAGTTACAAGTTTTGGCAAAAAAGGTGTTTTTGTTGACTTTCAAAAATGACCTATAATATCCAAATTCATAACTTTTTGTGAGTGCATTTCTTGATCTTTGGGTGTGAAGATGGATTGTAGGAAATTGCATCCTCTTCCAAATGAGCTTTGGATGGGTCATTTCTAATAAAGTATGACAAAGTTATGCTTGGTTAAAGTTTAGTTGACTTTTCCTACAAAACCCTAATTTAGCAACTTTTGAATCTTGATGAATCTTGAGCAATACTTGATGAATCATGATCAACCCTTGATAAAATGATGAATTATCCTTCAAAATGAGAATTTTTACAAAAATTCTTGAGGTTTGACTATTTGTAGGTCACAGTTGACTTTTGCCCTAGCACAGTCGATTTTTGGACCTCTTGAGCAATTGACTGACCAAACTTCCTCTGCAAGGCTTGAAATTTGACATGGATGATCTTGAGAACATATTAAGGCATTGGAAAGTCCTTGAGTCCATTTGGATGCAATGACCTTGATGCAACACAAAACCCTAATTTTAAATTGACTGCCTTAAGAGATGATTTGACTGTCCAACTCTTGAGCAATCTTGAACCATTTGGAGATTATTCTTGACATGTCTTGAGAAATATGGGAGGGAAAATTTTGGGGTACAACAGTGCCATCTGTACCATTAGTTGGTAGGTAGTCCCATCTATTGGATGTGAAGGGACGGATGTAGGGTCATCGTATGGTCATCGAAGGCAACATGTAAGGATACCTTAACAATTCGAAGGGACTATCATCACATTACTCGTAGGCAACTTGAAGTGACTAGATCATTTTTCATAGGCAAATTGAGGGACTATGATCTTTTATATCGTAGGGACTATGATGATTTGATTGAGGGTCTTTTACTAAAGTATCCCCACTTTCGAGAGACGTGACCAATATTCCGTAAGGTAATAAGAGAGGGTACCCTAGAGGTGCAAGTGTGAAAAGTGTATTGTTTTCAGTTGTTTATATTTGAAAATTAGGGTTTTCTAAGTTCAATTATTAGTCTTTCCATACAAACCCTAGTTACTAGTAGTTAAATATGTACAGAAAAATAAAGTGCAAAATGTAAAGTCCTAAGCTATTACATGGCTTTGGGAGAGGTACATAAGTATAAAAATACGGGAAAGTAAACCCTAAAACTATTACATCTTGGGAGCAGATACATAATAGAGAAAAAGTGCGAGAAAATAAATCTAAGCTATTACAATTAAAGAGTGCAACCTATACACTTTTCTAAGAAAATAAATAGCAAAAAGAAATAGGAAAATGTTTATAAAAATGTTTGAATGTTATAAAACCTAAGTTTGTGTTTTTGTATTTTTATAGAAAATAATTTAAATGATAATAGTAATTAAAACCTAAATTATAATTGATTTTAATATTTAAGAAAATATTAATTAGCCTAATTAATTAGTAAATAAAAAATATGTACAAAATTGATTATTGATTAAAAGAACCCTAATTATAATTAATTTTAATACTAAGAAAAATGTTAATTAATTTAATATATCATGAAAAATTAAATATTAGTTAAAAAAACCTAATCCTAATTTATTAGTAAAAAGTTTAGGTTATTTTAATAATTGGTTAATTAAAAAATAGGGTTAGAAAAGAGAAAAAGGAAAGAAATTAGGTTAAGACAAAAATAGGAGAAAAAACTCCATGGGGTAGGTGTTGAACCCACGCCCTCCTGGCTTTTTACCATA